AACAGCTGACTAACATAAACCCAAAAACATTTTTTTCCCTTGCCTAGAGCCGTTTACTAGTTTATGATCAACTTATTTCACTCATTATATTCAAAAAAAAAAATAAAATAAAAACCCAGTTATTATTCTTTCCTTCATTTCATATGAATATATGAAAAAACAACTTCCATTTATTTCATATATATTCAACACACGACAGTTATTCCTCCAAACCGACTTATATATCGTCCAACATCAACACTAAAATACAACTCGAAGCAATACATCCAAGAAGACATGTGAAAACATAGCTCTTCACCTTCATAACTTTAAGTAAACAAAACTTGAAACTCCACAATCTTACACAAGTACTGTGTGGTGCGCAGAACTTACAATGTTATCTCCTATTTTTCAGAAACCTAGTCGTATGATGCTCTCAATCTAAAAAGTCTATATCTTTATAATGATTTAATATTGTTATTTCGATTTAGTACGCATTTGTCTATCACTTTTTCAGATTTTTGGAGAGTTTTAGATACATGTACTTATAGATTGTCAACATGCCTATAGACTCCCTTCAGCAAGGACAAAACTAGTCGTGTGATCCTCTCAATCTAAAACGTCTATATCTTTATAATGATTAAATTATTGAGTTATATCTTTCTTCATTTAATTATGTTTAAGTCATAACTTCTTCAAGTTTTTTGAGTGGCTTATGACTTGCATGTAATTCTTATGAAATTCTCAACATACCTGACCAGGACCCTTAAGCAAGGTCGAAATCCGGATCGTGTGATGCTCTGAATTTCTATTCTTTCTTAGAAAAATCATTGAGTTCTATTGCAATTTAGTTTCGACTTCTTGTAACACTGAAGATATATCTTGTTTTGGATTTTTGTTCAGAAAATTCAAAATAGAGTTAGCCAACTGATGAGTCCTCTAGTCTGGACGAAACCGGTCATGGCAGCTCAGAGAATTGAATATTTATAAGTAACTTGAAATAGAATTGATTATATTCAACGAGTAATTTTTAAGGTCAACTTAATTTGACTATATGGATCTACTAAATATTTAACAATATCATAAAGGATATAAAATTATTATTCGATGATTTGTAATTATCAATAATTTCATCTACTGTAATTACTAGCCAATCAACATTATACATACAAAGTTATTTATTGCATATATATAAAAATATAACGCAGACGGATACAATTCGTTATATGATATTGTAAATAGTATTACTATTATAATACATATGAATACAAATCGAGATATGATTGTTAAAATTTAAATATTAACAATAAGTTCATCTCGTTTAATTACTTGCCAAGTTTATCTGGTCTAATTACTTGCTATTTAACATCGCACATACAAGTTTATTAATAACAAATTTATATTTATATAGTTTTTACTATCAATTAAATGGTCATTCTGAACTTGGAAAATGTTTATAAACAATCCATTTTTAGATAATCTTCCTGGCTTACTATTATTATTAAATTTCAAATTAAATTTCTATAATACACATTCAATTTAAATAAACTTTTTTAATTTCGATTTATCTATGATACAATCGATCGCTGAAAAGAAATAGTTTAATACTACAAGTTGATCTATATGATAGAAGATAAATTTGCCAATCTCATCTTAGAAGATAAATTTGTTAATCTCATCTCAGAAGATATTCAATCATCTGTCCAGACCAAATATATCTTAAATTTGAAATATATCTTAAATTTAATAGATGGGAATCGATGCCAGCAAAAATATGAAATAAGAAATTAACATCTTAAGACTTAGATAAAATCATATAAAACTCAATATTTGGCATTACTATTTCAAATTATTATTTCGAATTAATTCAATTTAATATTATTTAACATTATTTAAAGTATTTTTATTATATTATTTACAACAATATCATATAAGATTCATTATAATAACTTCAGAAAACTGGATATTGTGTCATAATCATTGATCGAATTCACAAAAGAATTCACCCTTAGTTATTCTTCAATCAAATTATAAAAATTATTCTAATCAATAATTATTAATTTTTTATTTTTAAGGTTAATTCTTATTTACTCTTTAACATTTTAAACTTTCCATTTTCCACTTTCCATCTTGCTGTAATCTTTGCCCTGCTTAAATTAACTTTCGTTTTATCTTAAAATTCTACTTATTGTAATTTTCGTCTTTTCTTAAAATCCTACTTATTTTAATTTTCGTTTATTTTAAATTTTTGCTTATCAATTGTAATGCAGAACCCTAATAAATGTTTCATTATAATAATAAATAACGCGAAACGCGTCGGTGAAATTAACTCTGCATTATTTCATTATTTCAATTTAAACTCATTTATTTAGTATAATTCTATTGTTTGACTCGATCGCTTGCTGAAAAGCAAGAGTTGAGAATAGCAGATTGATTTGTATGATAGGCATATAAGTCGATCTGTTTTTCATTGACCCCTGTCAGTGTCGACCAAGTTTTCGAGAAAAATTTTGAAGGCCAATGAGTGTTCAATCAGTGTCATGTTGCATCTTCTCATGTTGAATCCAATTTTCGTCTAGCTTGTCCAGTAGCTGAATGTTTTTGCACATGTATCTCGATTTCGTAGTGTGCCTCATTTCTTCGCACCCACACTACGGCGATGTGATGTGAGAGAGCGAGAGTATGAATGAGCCAAGCGAGGAGGGTGTGGATGAGGGAACAGTTCTACTATTTCAACCAATTTTTTCGAGATAAATTTTCGAAGAGCAAGAAGTGTTCAATCCAATTTTCCTTTAACTCATGTTATAGCTGAATGTTTTTGCTCATGTATCTCGATTTTGTAGTGTGACTCCTTTCTTCACACCCACACTATTGCGATGTGGTGTGAGAGAACGAGAGTATTAGCGAGGAAAGCGAAGAGGACAGAGTGACGGAAGATTTTTTCAATGTCGGGCAAGTTTTCGAGAACAATTTTCAAGAGCAAAGAGTGTTCAATCAATTCTATTTCAAGTTACTTATAAATATTCAATTCTCTGAGCTGCCATGACCAGTTTCGTCCAGACTAGAGGACTCATCAGCTGGCTAACTCTATTTTGAATTTTCTGAACAAAAATCCAAAACAAGATATATCTTCAGTGTTACAAGAAGTCGAAACTAAATNACTGATTTTTCTTCAGAAATATACTGTTCAGGATGATGCATCATTAGCAAGTAGATGGTGTGGGTGTGGGTGTGAATATTGTTCCCGCCATCACCCACATACCCCCACATCGGTTAATAATTGATAGAAAGAAAAATCGCGTTCACCTTTTTTTCGTCAATCCAGATACAAAAGTATAGTTATAATGAGAAATACTGAAAAAGAAATCAATCAATCATGCTTAGAAACAATTCATTCCCATACTTTATAAAATTCACACAAAACATGGCGTATATTTCAATGACTGAAATTCAAACAGAAAACAACTGGTACAAAGAAACATTCTGTTCAAACTCTTTTCATCGAATCAGAGCAAATATTGAGTACTAATTCGACGATTGAATTCACACCACTTATGACTTCTTTCAAGAAACATAGGGATCATAATTATTGTGTTCAAAAATATGCACTATTTGCGAGTAGATGCTATTCACAACAACAGGCCAAACCGCTCATATGACTCAAGATTTTCACCAAGAATACTATTATTCGGCTTTATTCCTTTTCTCGCATGTAAGATAATGAAACGCATTGATGATCAACGTCTTCGCAATAAACAAATCATCTGAAGAAATATAATGTTCAATTACTTTTCTGATTTTACATTAAACATCACGGAACCATACAAAGATGAAGATTAACTAGGATACTGATTTTTCTTCAGAAAGATACTGTTCAGGATGATGCATCATTAGCAAGTAGAGGGTGTGGGTGTGGGTGTGAATATTGTTCCCGCCATCACCCACATACCCCCACATCCACATCCACACCAACACCCTAAAGTAACACCCCTAGTTGTTCTACCGTCAACTACTATGAATCGATACTACTATATCTAGTAAAACAATCATATCCCTATGATACCTTATCAAAGCACTATGAGAGCAAAAGGAACGGAAACTCTAACCAGACTGCGCATCTCTATTCAGCTTAATTAATACTTATACTATAACTTATTCTTATAGCTCATTTAAAAAACGACAAAATGTATTAAAAACAGTTTACTTACTTTTTTCTTGGTATTTTAAATATCTCCCAAGTACATAAAAAATTTATTTAAAGACATTCATACTAATTATTTCACTTGCCGTTTGCATCGATCTCAAAAAAAAAAGAAATATTTCAATAAATAATTACTTTCTAATCGATATTTCAAGATAAGTAATCTAAAGAAGATAAAAAACTTTATTAGGACGAATTCATACTTACTACTTTGGTACCTGTTACTTTAATAAATCTAGAAATAAACTAGAATCATTTAAATAAAGGGGTGGGTTTGGTGCGGGTGTAGTTGCAGTAATGAAGAGTCACACTCCACACCTACACCCACACTTACACCACTCACACCCACCCCACACCCATCCACCCACACCCTTGGTTAACGAATTGTGTTGAGTAATAACTGTAAAATGTTCATGTTCTCTTTCGTTGCAGACGTCTTTATTTTCTTTTCCTCTTATTTTGTCACCTGAAAATTGCCTCCGTATCTATAAACAAAAACAAATTCATGACTAATTGAAAGTAAAAACAACGTTATCGGACCACTTCACTTGTCGCACAGAAAAAAAACAAAGCTCTTATTCTCCCGTTCTCTTGCCATACACACTGTTGAAGGACTCTCTTCATCAATGCTTGAGTCGAAAAAAACCCACTGTATTTTTTTCTACATAAAAAGAGAAAAGCAAGATATTATTTTCTTCAATTACTGTGAACAATATCATTTTAGATAAAAATCAAAACTACGTGGTTCTAGGAGTCTGAATCGCTGGTAGAGTGGGATCTATGAATCGCTTCCGATTAATTCCAAATGCATCTTTTGCAAATGATGGTAGAAGACAACAAACTTTCACTACCAGATCAAACTCGAGTTTTATCAGGTCTACTATTTGATTCTAACGAATTGATCATATCAATAAAATGATTAGTTTAGACATTGTGGAAATCGCGATTCAAGAGAACGGTCAGGTTTACACCATCGTCTTTTTCATGGAAAACGTAATTCTACAACTTTTGATATAACATCTGAGAGTCTGTAAGTTTTCATTTCAAATAAAATATCCATCCAATCTCTCTTCACCTTCTAAGGCCAACCAAACGACCACGTTTACCTCCTGTTTCATATCCAACCCTTACTAAATCACTTGATAAATCACCAGAGGAGATTCTTACTGAAATGCTTGACCCAAATTTTCAATTAAAGAAATTTTTAAATGACAAACGTATGCAAGAAAGATATGATTGGATTTCTTCAATGACAACATTGCTTGAAAAGATAACACATTGTATTGAATCAAGGGAACGTATCACAATGATCTTGGAACAATTACCTGACACCGTTTATCTCGAAGGTGTTTATAATGAAATTCGAAAAATTGATCCTGATACAAATCAATTCAATTTCAAATTGATTGAATTATTTCTTAAAATATCGAATACATTTCTGGCGATGATACCTCATTCAGCTGATGGTTTTACCAAAATCTTTGATCGGATTGAATTACAATTCACTAAAAATAAATTTGAATCACGTGTATGAATTATATCTTCAATCATTTCTTTTCTTTAACTTCTTTTTTTGTAGGAATTCGAAGATGCAAAAGAAATACTTGATCAAGTACTGGAACGAGTCAAAGATACCGAAAAACTATATACCACGAATAAGTTTACTACGCAACATTATATTGGTCAACCACCCAATAATTATCGTAAATTACATATCGTTCCCGATCTAACCGAACTTTTATCTGAACAACGACCATATCTTCGAAAGAATATTGTTGATGGCATTTATGAAAATGCTGAGCAATATCTTGATGTAAGATTCAATGATTTCTTTTCTGTTTGAATTTAATATATATATATATTTCTTCAGATTCATTTCCGTCTCTTGCGGGAAGATTTTATTGGCCCATTACGTGACGGTATTCGACAACATTTATCCAAAGTTAAAAGCAAAAATTATAATGTACGAATCTATGAAAATGTTCAATCACTTGGCTCACGATTGACTCCACGAAACGGACTTGTTTATGATTTACGCTTAGATGCAAAACTAGCATCAAGAATTCGTTGGGCTAATAGTCAACGTTTAATCTATGGAAATTTATTACTTCTTACATTTGATAATTTTCAATCATGTGTATTTGCCACAGTTGAAGATCGTTCACAAATCGAAAAAAATTTTATTATCTCGGTAAATTCCATTATTTATTTAATCCATCTTTTTTCTTCCTCTTAGATTAAAACATTAGAAGATTTTGATCATTCCGAACGAAATCAAATTAATCTTGATAAAATTGATGCATCATGTCGTTTAACAATGATTGAAACAATGACATATTTCGAAGCATATCGACCAGTTCTAAATGCATTACAAATGATACCTTCTAGTGAGAGATTTCCTCTTGCTCCATTTCTTCTAAAATTATCGAATGTAATAACACCACCAGATTATATTAAGCCAACAACAACATATGATTTTACACCACTTCTTATTGATCCGAATTATCGAATCAATTATAAACAATCACATCAAGTGGAGAAAAAATATAAAACAGTTCGACTACTTGAAAAAGATCAATGGCCAACAAGTGAGCAGTTACATCTCAATCCAAAACAATACGAGGCTTTGATTCTAGCTTTAACCAATAAAGTTGCAATAATACAAGGACGTAAGTGAAATGAAAAGGCTATTTGAAGAAGCAAATGTTTCTTTTCAATTAGCACCAGGTACTGGAAAAACATATCTTGGTGTACGAATAACAGAAATGCTCTTACATAACCAATCAGTTTGGCGTCGACCTGGTGAACAATCCACACCCATTCTAATGATCTGTCATACCAACCATGCACTTGATCAATTTTTAGAATTAATTGTCAATCGATTAAACATACATAATGGTTTAAGCACTGATGTTATTTAATCAAATTTATTCCTCATATCTCTTATTTTAGGTATTGTTCGTGTTGGAAGTCGATGTCAAAATCCAAAAATTCAACAGTTTTCATTGAAAAACGCACGTCAACGCGCTCGAGAGAATCGGTCTCTACCTAAGGATATCTTTCATGAAAAACAGCGAATGCTAGCTGAAAAAGTAGCGTTTGAAGAAGCTTTAAAATCAAAACAACAAGAAATGGAATGGACACAAACACATATAATATTATTTTCATCATTTACTGAGCATCTTATTATTGATCAGAGACATATTTCATCATTATTGGCACCATTTCATGAGGATATGCGTGACATAGCACTATTAGGATGGCTTGGTTTTTATCCTGACTTTGAACGAATACCTGATAACTTTATTCATCCAGAAAATCGGGAAACGCATGTTTTACCAATGGAAACAAATGATACTATGATAGAAATGCAGGAAGATGAATTCAATGAAGAAGACGAAGAAGAAGAACGACGTAGACACGATGATGATATTAATCTAGAAGAATATGAACCAACTACAGGACATCTCACGGATAGAAGAATATCATCAAAAGTTGAGATTAGTAGTAGAAGAGCAAGACAAACTGTACAAAGTCAAGGGAATTATAATGATAGATTAATCCGATATATCATTGAAAATCCTACTACTCTAAATAATGAAACAGTTAATCAAATAAATGATAATGTTTGGCAACTTAATGAGCAGGAACGTTATGATTTATATCGATATTGGCTTCTCAAATATCGACAACATTTACAGAATTCTCTTGATAATCAAAGTAGAGAATATAATGTAGCTGCATCAATTCTTGCTGAATATCGTCAAAAAGAAGATTATTATCTTTTAAAAGATAATATTATCGTTGCTATGACAACAACATGTGCTGCAAAATATCATAACATTTTAGAAAAACTTCGTATGAATTTCTTTTTCAAAATTTCCTTTCAAATATTTGTCTTTCTAGAAAGTAAAATTGTTATTGTCGAAGAAGCAGCTGCCATATTTGAAGCACATATAATCACTGCTTTAAGTACCAAATGTGAACATTTAATATTAATTGGTGACCATGTACAATTAAAACCTAATCCAAGTGTCTATCATCTTGCAGTAAAATATCAAATTGATGTATCATTATTTGAACGTTTGATTAAGAATAAATTTCCAAATGTTCGATTAAATATTCAGGTAAAGTTCAAAAAGATTTTTCAAACCTTCGAACCTTTTATTTCAGCATCGTATGCGACCGGAAATCGCTCGTTTGATGAAATATTTCTATGATGACTTAGAAGATCATATCAATGTGGAAAGTGAACGAGCACCAGTACGTGGTGTTGATAGTAATATATTCTTTATTAATCATAATCATATGGAAGCTAATGTTGATGATGGACGTTCATACCGAAATGAATTCGAAGCGAAATATGTTATTGAATTAGCAGAATATTTAATTAAACAAGGTTATGAACCTCAACAAATCACTGTACTGGTTATGTATCTTGGTCAAAGACAATTCATTGCTAAACAAGTAAAACAAAGAAAACTTTTATATGGTGTTCGAATTATGGTACTATTGACTAATATTGTCTTTTTGAATGAAATAAAAATTTCTATTGTAGGTAACAGATAATTATCAAGGTGAAGAAAATGATATCATTATATTATCATTAGTGCGTAGTAATCCAGAGAAAAACATTGGTTTTCTTAAAACACACAATCGAATCTGTGTCTCTTTATCTCGTGCACGTTGTGGTCTGTTTGTCATTGGAAATATGACCTTATTAGCAGAAGTGAATGAGATGTGGAAGCAAATCGTTGCATCTGTATCGGCAACAAATAATATTGGAAATGGTTAGTAAATCATTTAAATAAAATCATTCATTCGATAATCTTTGCTTAGGTTTATCTCTTTCTTGTCGTCAACATTCGAGAAATAAATTCATCGCTGATAAACCTGAATCGTTCGCACAACGTCCAGAAGGTGGTTGTAGACAAACATGTGATGCTCGACTTCCATGTGGTCATCATTGTGAACGAATGTGTCATAATTATGATTTCGAGTAATGATCAATTTTTTTAAAAAGATTTTTTATTCGAAAATTTTCTGTTTTTCAGACATAAAGATGTCGTTTGTCGTAAACAATGTCCTGAACGATTATCATGTGGTCATTCGTGTAAAAAACGATGTCATATTGAAACACCAAATGAACATGAGCAATGCCGTGCTTTTGTTGAAAAAACAATTCCAGAATGTGGCCACCAAATTCGTATTGAATGTTATCAAACACCGACTGCCAGCAATTGTAAAAAATCATCATTACAACGATTAGATTGTGGTCATGTTGTTGATGTTCCATGTCGGATTAGTTCATCGCCATCTGAATTAAAACAATTTTTTTGTCCTAAACCATGCGGAGAAATGCTTGCTTGTGAACATAAATGTATTGGAAAATGTGGAGGTTGTCGTGCGGGAAAATTACATACTCCATGCGGAGAAAAATGTGAACGAGAATTAATCTGTTCACATGTAAGTTTATTGAATACGAAAAGATTATTTCATTTTTTTAAAACTTCCTATAGATTTGTAAAGCAACTTGTGCAACGAATTGTCCACCATGTTCACGCACGTGTGAAACACGTTGTGTACATTCTCGATGTAAGAGAAACTGTGGAGAGATATGTACACCATGCAAAGAGGTTGGGGATAGAATGATTTGCTATTTCTAGTAGACTAAATATTTTCAATTTAGCCATGTGCTTATAAATGTAAACATCTGCGGTGTACTCGTTTGTGTTCGGAACCATGCGATCGTGGTCCATGTAATGAGCCATGCCATTGGAAAATTAGATGTGGTCATACTTGTATCATTTCCAAATAACTAACCTTCTGCTAGATAATAAATGCTTTCTTTTTTATCAATAGGTATTGGTATATGTGGTGAACCATGTCCTCCACAGTGTCGTCAATGTGATAAATCGAGGGTAGAAGACATATTCTTTGGTACTGAAGATGAACCGGATGCACGGTTTGTTTTCTTACCTGATTGTGGACATATAAGTATGCGCATGTAGATTGATTCATTCTGATAAAAAAAATTTCAAATTAGTTGAGGTAACGTCACTCGATCAATGGATTAAGGATTTTGAGAATGATCCTGATAATAAAACAGCGATTCGTTTTCCTGAATGTCCACGTTGTCGACAAAAAATTTATCGATGCGTAAGATATATGCCTATTTTAAATCGAGTACATGAATCAATATCTCAAGTGAAAAGGAAAATCTTAGGGAACAAATCTCGACAAGAAATGAATTATCGACGAACACAGTTGATTGCAGAATATGAAAAGATACAGAGGAATTTAAAAGAAATTAATCTTGTTCAATCCATCACAGATTTGTTTTCGAAATTATATAAAGATGATCAATTCTTTTCTGATGATATGTTCAATTTAATGACAAATCTTCTTGTATTTCTTAATGAAATGGATGCAATTTTAATTAAAGGACGGAAAAAATTACAAGAAAGTGTGTTTGAAGATCTAGTTAATGCTCCATTACGGCATATTGTAAAGTATTTATCTGCACAACGACAGGATCGAAATTTTGCTGAGCAACAATTAAAAGATATTCAATCTGAATTCAAACGTATTCATCGAGTTATTTATATTGAAAGTCTTGTTTCTTCATTAAAACGAACTTTGAAAGAAGATGAAAAAGAATGTATTGATTCGATGAAAAATTTAACAAGAAAATCTGGTCCATTTACTGATGAAGATCGACAAAAATTTGACGATTTGGTTAAAAAATTTGAACAGATAAATAATTTACCTGGCTTAGGAATAACTGATCGTGAGCGAATTGCCATTGTTCGCGCATTGAATATATCAAAAGGACATTGGTTTATTTGTCCAAATGGTCATCCTTATGTTATAACTGAAGTAGAAATTTTCTTTTTTGATGAATGATGATTTTTTTAAGTTTGATTTAGTGTGGTGGTGCGAGTCAAGAAAGTCAATGTCCTGATTGTGGAGAACGAATTGGTGGACAAAATCATCGTTTATTAGAAACCAATCATCATTTTGGTTCAATGGATGGTTCACAACATCCAGCTTGGTCAAACGAAACAAATTTAAATTTACGCTAGCCACGTATCTGAATTAATTTCTTTATTTAATCAGTTCGTTTTGATTATTTTTTGAAATAAACACGATGAGGATGAATTTCTCCACAGAAATACTTTGTCAAATCTAATCAGATAAATACAATGACCACCAAAATTATGTTGGCTATTTCAAATACCTTCATGATAGTGTTGTAGAGTATATGAAACAGCGAAGCATATTTTTATGACGAAATGCTTTCCATCAAACATCTTCATAGAACAATACAGGCACTTAAGGGTGTGAATGGGTGTGGGTGTGTGGGGTGTGGGTTAGGGGTGTCAGCGTTCCCCGTTTCCTACCGTACCATCCCTAGGAACGGGAACGCATTTCAAAATCAGACTTTTCTGCGTTATTTCAACATGGTGAGATTTCTAGACATGCCAGCTTTTCTTTTTATGTTTGAATGCTCAACGTTCTCCGTTCCTAGGAACAGAGAACGCTATCCCGTTCGCGTTCCCATGAACGGGGAACGCTATCCCGTTCTCCGTTCCCCGTTCCCGGGAATGGGGAACGCTACTCCGTTCCCCGTTCCTAATGACGGGGAACGCTACTCCATCCCCGTTCCTGGGAACGTGAACGCAACATGCCCTTTTTGCTTTTAATAAAAAAACTTACAAAATCACCGAAGGAAAAGCAATTTCATAAAAATCATGAATTTTTACCAAAGGAGGAGTGGCGGTAAGGCTACTTTTCGGCCCAAAATATTTTCAAGAAATAACTATATGATAGTTACGAGGTCCATATGGGCTACAAATATCACAGGGTAATTTTGCTTCTAATTACTTCCGGGTTTGGCACCCCCGTACC